TTCCGCAGCCTCGACCTGCTGGGCTCCGGCGATCCTTCCGCCTCATCCTTCCAAATAGCTGGAACTACAGACGCGCGCTACCATGCCCGGCTAATTTTTTATTTATTGTAGAGATGAGGTCTCGCCAAGTTGCCCAGGCGGGTCTCGAACCCGCGGGCTCAGGCAATCCACTCACCTCGGTCTCCCAAAGCGTGGGATTATAGGCTGACCACCCGAGCCTGGCTGCTTGGCCTTATGATCCTATGCCAGAACTTGGTAAACCTCAGCAGACCTCATTCTGTTCAGTCCCATAAGCAATTGAAAAAAAGCTGCTTACCTTTTGTAAACCATATGGAAGATCTGAGGAATAGTTCACAGAGAGAGGAAGGTCAGGCCTTGAAAAAAGATCTACCCTCAGGCACTGGACTTAGGAACAGAAGAAAAGACCAGGCGGTGTCAGTGTTTGGCTCAGACTGGTAGCAATGCCATTGAGAAACTTGCACGAGGTGTTGCAGTATTTTTCTGCAATAATTGAAGAAGGTAATTGAGGAGAAGGGTTAGTTTTCACCAGGTTTTCAAATGCCAGCGAATATATTTGGCATTAGAAATACATATATGCTGACTGTAACATTTTTAAATTTTTTTACACAAATTTTCTCACTGTTTTTTCTACAAGAGCATGCTTTCCAAGGGGCAGCACATTCCTGTATATTACAGAGCTCTGCCTTCTGGAGGAGAGAAAGTCAAGGGAGATGGGGCGAGTGCCTAGGGCCGCGTATGTTGGGGTGTGAAGGAAGGCCAAGAGCGCCAAGGCGGTGTCCCCATCCGGCCTCACTCTCCCTTATTAGAATTTTGTGATGCTCCTTGTACTCTCCTGAACTTAAATTCATAGTGATGTAACCTCACATACATAATTCTAAAAAATATGCCTTCTCTGTGTGTCGAGAAAGAGAGAAATTATAATGTTTCTATATGTAAATGCTTAGACCTGACTGTACCAGGAAACTTAATGAGGTGGTGAGAATGTAAGAACTGCGAAGACAGCCTGATGGAGAGACGTAGCAGTGACAACTCAACACTGTGACTGCCACTGCATGGGTGATGGGATTTTTCAGAATGAATAATTTTGACAAAAAGTGTATCTTTCTTTTATTTACAGGGCCAGTACAATACTGAAAGAATTAGCTTTTTAAAAATTGTGCAAACAACATTTTCTGTTTATTTTTAAAACTGGCCGGAAATTCTGGACACTCTCACAAGCTTCGGAAATGTCCCTCAGAGGCTCTAATACCCTCCTGCCCACTTTGAGAATCATTGCTGTATAGAACCGCATCATGTTCTAGCGTTCAAGCCGCAGTACCAACTTGGCGTGTGGCTCACGCCTGTAATCCCATTGCTTAGGGAGTTGGAGGCAAGAGGATTGCCTGAGCCCAGAAGTTCGAGACCAGCTTGGGCAATTGGCAAGACCTCGTTTCTGCAATAAATAAAAAATCAACCGGATGGTGGCACACGCCTTTGGTTCCAGCTACTTGGAAGGCTGAGGTGGAAGGATTGCCTGAACCCAGGAGGCTTCAGTGGCTGTGATCATATAATTGCACTCCACACTCCGGCCTGGGCCACAGAGTAAGACTCTGATTTGATAGATAGATAGTAGATAGATAAAACAGCAGTACTGACAAAGTAGGAGAAGTATTTCTAAAACATTTTATTAGTACTGGGTTTATTTTTGAGCTATTCATTTTTTCTCCATGTGTCCTTTGGAACCAACTATGAATTTATGAGCCATGGGACAGTGACACAGATACTCTTATTGTGGAACAGAGTTTTACTTAACCTGGTGAAGTGTAGAGCTTTATGTAGCTAGAATAAAAAATACTGATGAACATCTGAGAAATATTAAAGATTTTTTCTTATTTTTTAATCTCAAGATAATTGGCTGTTTATAATAAAATAAAATTTCATTTAAAAAGATAATTGGCTGCTTAAGCAAAAATAGTAAGTAACAATGTATTGTGGTGTTTCTAACCAAGTTAAAAATAAAGTGTATGACAGCAGTAGCATAAAGAACACACAGGGAATGAAGGTAGACATTTGCAAGGGTCTTAAAATACACGGGAAATGGGAGACTGTCACTTGAAGGTTGACTGTGATAAATTAAAAGATGCGTTTGCAGTTCTGAAGCAACCATTAAAACAGAAATACTCCAAAAGGCACAGCTAGTAGGACAACAAAACAGATAAAATGGACTAATAAGAAATATTCTGTCTAAAATAACTTAAAAAAAGAGGAAAAAGTGATCCCTTAATCAAGGAGCTGTGTTCTGTGGATTGTTTTTTTCTTAAACTTCCCACTCCCAGAGCTGTGAGTGCGAAGGTGGCCTCCTGTCCTTTCTCTTCAAAGGATTAGTGGGTTCTCTTCTGAGAATAGCTCAGTTGTATTGGAAATCCTTTGCCGGTGCTCAGGGCGTCTTCTGCTTTCCTCCGGGTCCCACTCTCACTCGGCACCTGTCTCTACCTCTTCTCTTTAGCACTCAAGTGAAAGGGAGAGACCGTGCTTGACTTTGTCACGAACTTCTATACTTGCCAGTCCAAGAGGATGCATAATCAAGTGGAATGAATTGGCCTATGGTTGTTTTTTTCAGTGATATCTCAACATACTTTACTTTTTTCTTTCCCTGAATTCAGAGACATGAAAAATGCTGTAATTGGAAACAACAAGCAGAAAGCCAATCTCATAGTTTTAGGAGCTGTTCCAAGGTATGTTTGCCATCTCATTGCCTTTCTACCTTTCATACTAAGTTTCTAGTATGTTTCTCACTTTCAGTTATAAAACTTATTTTTTCCCATGTTGCTTATCTTATTTTTAAAGTAAATCCTGTTTTTGTAAATAAATGTTTTGACGTATATGAGCCATCTTTAAGAAAAAAAATTATAAAGTAACAGAATGGAATAAGAAATGAATGTATTAACACTTTTCAGAAATTTAGAAAGATAATTGACCTTGCAATAAAAGGGTTTGCTGAGTCCGTAAGCAACGTATACCAGCCTGATACTTTATTCCCCATCTCCTTAGAGCCCTGACTTAGAAGTCTCAAGATTTTTGAGTTTAAAGAAGGAAAAAAACCCTGCTTGGTTTTAAATTCTGCTTTTTCTTTTAATCTTCTAATTTTTACAATTTTCTATTTTTCAAGTTAGCATAGGAAATTTGGGGAGTTTGCTTTCTGCTTCTGATGACCTAATTAGCTTCCTTTGGGCAAAAGCAATGGAAGTTATATAACTTCTATTGCTTTTGCTACCCAGAACTAAGTTTTGTGTGCAATTGCTATTAGATTTTCATTCAGAATTTTCCAGTTGTTTTGGATTTTTCTCCTCTTATTTTCTGGTTTTGAGACAGGATTAGTGGTTTTAATGTCTTTGATGTCACTGATCTCAAATATATACTTTAATAACTATGAAGCTCTCAGCAGCCTTTCTTAGGAGACTCGTGTTCGGTGTATGTAAATAATGTTTGAGGGAGCATGAGGGTCCTGGCTCTGAACAGAAGGGAGAGGGTCATGGCTGGCGGAGGGTTAGGGCTTGGGGAGTGGTTGCTCGGCAAGCTGGGCTGGAGGAGCAGAGGGAGGCTCTCTTCCTGTCCCAAGTGTGAGAACTGGAAACAGGAGAAACTTCCCTTGCTTGAAGAGCTGCCCAGAGAGTCTGCGTGTTCCCTCCGGGCCAGACCTCTGCATTCTCTGCACTGCTGCTCTAGACTCAGGGTCTGTTTCTAGCAGGATCTAAGGTCTGGCAGCACGTGATGTTGAGAGTTTGCATTCTGAAGAGCCCCTTCTGGATGTGCCAGGTGACGGGAGCTCTGGTGCTGCAGCTTCTGCAGAGACCACTTGTGCACGACTTTCCGATTTGCAGTTTCAATGAATTCTGATGTTATGTGATGGTTGTTTTGTTCAAATGTTGTTTCTTTATTGGATTAGCAGATGATATAAACAAATGGCCATTTCCCAGAGGGATTCAAATAAACTCAACCAAGCGTATTTTAGTGTGTAGAACGTACACTCCTTTTTCATCATGTTTCTTTAATTTCAGGTTTTTGAATCTTTTTATTTATCATGTTCCTATTTATTTAATTATTTATTGATTTACCTTCCTTTTAGATTATTGTACTTGCTTCAGCAAGAAACCTCAAGCACGGAGCTGAAAACTGAATGTGCAGTGGTACTGGGAAGTCTTGCTATGGGTACTGAAAACAATGTCAAGTCTCTACTGGACTGCCATATTATCCCTGCCTTACTGCAAGGTATGTAGGGAAGCCATTTTTGCTTAAGTAAAGATAAGGATTGGTTTGTGGTATTTTAAATACTGGTTGCAAAGATGAGTCCCAAATCTAGTTTCTGTTCCTAGGACTCTTGTCCCCAGACCTGAAGTTTATTGAAGCTTGCCTCCGGTGCCTGCGTACCATCTTCACCAGTCCCGTCACTCCAGAGGAGCTACTATATACAGTAAGTTTTAATTGTTTTTGAGTCTCACTCTGTTACCCAGGCATGGTCATGGCTACCACAGCCTCAATCTGTCGGGCTCAGGTGATCCTTCCGCCTCAGCCTTCCAAGTAGCTGAAACTACAGGCGCATATCACCATGCTCAGCTAACTTTTTGATTTATTGTAGAGATGAAGTCTTGCCAAGTGGCCCAGGCTAGTCGCAAACACCTGGGTTCAGGCAATTCTCTCATCTCTGCCTCCCAATGTTATGGGATTACAGATGCGAGCCACTGCATCTGGCCAGATTATTATAAACTGTAGTCACCCTACATAGGATTTTCTTCATGAAAATTAGGCCAATGTTTTTGAAACACTTATATGGATAAGTGTTTCATAATAAGAAGTGCATTTTCTTTTCCATTGCCTCACTACACATGTGTGAGAGTGCATGTGTGTGCACATGCATGCATCTGTGAGAATCCTGAGACAAGCTTTGTGACACAGTTCCACAGATGTGATGCCCTCCAGTTTCTATTCTACCATTCTTCTTTTTTTTTTTAGTTTAAATGCTGGTTGTGTTTCAGCAAAGAATCAGATTGTCAAACTGTACACGTGTGAATCAAAGCTCTGACCCAGAATCATGCCTTGCAGACATTTGAAGAATGTAAGTGATCAAGAGATGCAGGCAGAGCGAGTGTGAGGAAGGGGATGTGCTGTGTGGCTCCTAGTCCACCCTTCCTACGTTGGCCCTAATGATCCGTGAGGTCCGAAAGGGAGATTCGTCAGTTACCTCACACGGCGGGTGTGTCTGAATTATAAGCATCTTAATTTTATACCTCCACGTTTTCTTTTTTCTTTTTTGAGTTGCAGTCTCACTCTGTCACCCGGGCTGGAGAGTTGCTCTGTCACCTGGGCTGGAGGGCAGTGGCACACTCCCGGCCACTGTGACCCCGACCTGCTGGGCTCAGGTGGTCCTTCCGCCTCAGCCTTCCAAGTAGCTGGAACTACAGGCGTATGCCATCACGCCTGAGTAATTTTTTGATTTATTGTAGCAGTGAGATCTCACCAAGTTGCCCAGGCTGGTCTCGAACCCATGGGCTCCGGCAATCCTTTCACCTCGTCCTCCCAAAGAGCCACTGTGCCTGGCCTTACCTTCAAGTTTTAAGTTACATTTTTTGGGGGGAGTCATGCCTCATAAATCTTTTTTCTTTTAAATTTTTAGTTTTCAGATGTGGGGTACGATTCAGAGTTTGGTATACAAATGTTCATTATGCAGGTACCTTTGTTGATGAGGTGTGCATAAGTCATATATTGCTTACTACAGTGGTTCTCAAACTTGAGCATGCACTCGAGTTACCTGGAGGACTTGCTACACAGGGATTGCTGCACCCCACCTCCAGAGTCTCTGACCCAGTGAGTCGTGGGGGACCTGAGAATGTGCATTTCTAACACATTTCCAGTAACTCAGATGTTACTAGTCTGTGGTCAAAGTTCTCTTTTTGACAACTATTGGTTTCCGTAAACATTCTGCTCAAAGCATTCCATGGAGAAGGTCCCTCTTAATAAATGCCAGTGTATGCTCCTAGAGGTCATATTATCAGGTTTACAGAGGAGTAAGCCAGCCACCCATCTTTTCCTGGAAATTTCTCACCAGCTCTGTGATGGGGGAGACATTGGTCCTGGCCACCTGCTTTAACTCCTTTCTCCTCACTCTCTAAATTGACTCATGACCTACTAACGGGTCATGGAACACAGTTTGGAAAATTCTGGTCGGGCCAGTTAACTTTTTTACGTGAAAAAAACTAAGACCTAAGGAGCATAAGTATGGATTCTGAGGGAATCTAACTTATGCAGCGTCTCCGTTTTGTGCCTTAGAGATCATACCTCAGACACAGGGACACACCCGTGAAGAATGTTGGACAAAGGAGTTTTCAGTTTAATTAACGTCTGTGAGTCGAGTGTGTGGAGACCAGCTGCTACAATGACTCAGGCTCTAACGTAGAGACAGGGTAGCCTAGTGCAGTCAGAAGAGCACAGGATTCTAGTTAGAAATCCTATGTATGAGGTGGACGATTCTGGGCAAATCATGAGATTGTTCTTTGCTTTATTTAGTCATCTATAAACAGATACATAAACACAGTTGGCAGAAGGGGGGCAGGTGCGAAGAACTGGGATGGGAGCTCTTGCACCTGAGGAAAACTGAGGAATGCTAGAGCAATCAAGAAGTGGAAATAGCTTTAGGAGCCCCACGGAGGCTTTTTACATCTCCCTCGATGTGCCTGTTCTGACTTAGCTGCTGTCTGCTTTGCTGTCTTCTGCCCTTCCCCCACTTGACATTCTCATCTTCTCTTTCTTTTCTTTCGTACATTTATTTATTTTTATTTTTTTGAGTCGCAGTCTTACTCTGCACACTCACGGCCACCGCAGCCTCAACCTGCTGTGCTCAGGCGATCCTTCTGCCTCAGCCTTCCAAGTAGCTGGAACCACAGGCGTGTGCCACCACGCCCGGCTAATTGTTTGATTTCTTGTATAGACAAGGTCTTGCCAGGTTGCCCAGGCTGGTCTTGAATCCCTGGACTCAGACCGTCTTCTCACTTCTACCTCCCAAAGTGGTGGGATTACAGGCATGAGCCACCGTGCCTAGCTTTCTTTCTGTGCATTTAGTACCTGACTTTCTTTGAGGTTTTCTGAGGTTTTAAGTTGCTTGTGACAACACAGAGGGTTATACTAACACTCAGGAGGGAGATTCTGCTTGTAGGGAATCGGCAGCCGTCAGTTTTCTCTTTTTGCTTTCACATATCTTGGGATTCTTTTCTTTCCAAATATATCCTCAAATCCTGTTCATCCCAGCAAGAGTGTTCAATTAAGCTTTTTCCTTGCCCTCTTGTTTCTGGTGAGGATCCTCAGAGGGTAGTCTGAGGACCAGTGGCAGCAGCTTCATCTGAGGGCTCACCAGAACGCAGCCAGGTCCTGCCCCGAGCCCACCGGATCGGGATCTGTCCACTGAGAACACTTCCTGGAAATTCGCGTGCATGTTGGTGCTTGAGAAGCTCAACTTTAGGACTCGCAACAGCACTGACTAGGAGGCTTGGGCTAAGTCTCCTCCATCTGTGGGTCCTGGCCAAAGACCCTTTCAACTTTTAATACCTTTTGCATTCTAAATAAAAGGAGATTCTTGGCGAGCTCTGCAGCAGAGTGAGCTGAATCTTTTTTCTTGTACCACCATCCATATAGGTTAAATGTCAGCATTAGACAGAGAGTGGGCTGTATGTGAGAAGTTGTCAGTCATATAAATTGTTTGGTCTTGTGCAGATTGAAAAAGCTAGCTATAGTCTTCATGAGAGGTTGTTGGTAGTCACTGATGTTTACCATAACATCTCAAAAATCAAAATTACCAAGTTTTCTATCTATACAAGAATTCCTTCTTATAAACGATTTAGTATTGTATAAATTGCCAGTCACCCTCACATTTTGATTTTGTTTTATTTTTTTTGAAAGCAGGATTTATTGAGAGGACAGAAAAACCCCCACAGTGGGAGGGGACTCGAGGGGGTTGCCCCCATTTTGATTTTAGAACTGATTTCTGTCGAGTCCTTTTTGGTTTCAGAACAGATTCCTGTCAGTGATTTTGCTCTGTTGTGAAGATACAGGCTGCTGATGGAAAAGATAGTGAGAATCTCTGGTTGTCATATTTTCATACTGAGGGTGAATATTGAAGTCCCTTTCCTCGCCCATTACCTAGGCAGTTTGATCGCCACGTTGCTTTTGCTTTGGTCTGTTTCTTAAGAAGGCTTGATTCCTGCCATTCAGATACGGTGTGCCTGCTTGTGGGAAAGTCTTGCCAAATGTACTCTCGGTGCCTAAGTTCCTGTTGCTGTGCTCTGCTTTCTTTGCCTCCAGGATGCCACAGTGATCCCACACCTCATGGCACTGCTCAGCAGGTCCCGCCACACCCAGGAGTACATCTGCCAGATCTTCTCACACTGCTGTAAAGTAAGAACCAGGACACGTATTCTCTGTCATGTGAAACCTTATGCGCTTAACAGACATGCCTTCTTTGTCTGTTTTCCCAGAGATATTCTGTATGTATGTAAGTAAACCTGTGTATATGTTTTTTCCCTTTTCTTTTTAACACAATTGTCAGCATGACATACATACATACAGTTCTGCACCTTGTATTTGTCACTTGACGTATCTTGAAGGCTACTCCCTACCACTACATAAGGAGCTCCTTTGTTTTTTAACAGCTACATAGTATTTTACTATATAGATGTATAGCAATGTATTTAACTAGTCCACTATTGTTTGACATTTAGCTTGTTTCCAATATGGCTGTCACAAAATACTGCGGCAAGTAACTTGGATATGTGGCATTTTATACGAAATGGAATTGTTAAGCCAAAGAATATGTGCATTTATAATTTTACCACATACTGTCTTTTATTGAGGCTGTCCCATTCTATAACTCTAGCGGCGTGTGATCATGACTGTTTTCCCACACCCTCAGTTGCCAAGAGCAGTTTAAATGATAAATAAACGAGAGTTGAATTGCATAAGGAGACGTGAGAAAGCTTCTCATCTGCTCGTTGTTGAGCCAAGCTTCTCTTTGTCTTCTCTTCAGTTTAGGTTTGGGACCTAAACTGAAGAGTGCTGTGAGGTACTAACTGCTTCGCTTGGTGGATTATCCGTTCCTTGGGCCTTTTGATAACCATGGGTGATCATTTGAGATCTTTCTTAATTTCTGTTCATTTTCTAACTAAGTAATTATCTTCTGATGGTTCCGTGAGTGTTTCAGATATGGCATTACCTTCCTGTCACAATATAGGCACCAAGTGCAGAGCTTTGGGACCAGTGGGAAAGAAGGGATAAGAGAAGTGGTAAACCCCCTGCATTCCATAGTAGGGAGACCACAGGTCTGTGCTATTTTAGAACAGCTTCCCAAATGAATGAAAACCAATCACTTGGTTCCAGGGAAAGTTTCTCCATTATTTTATTTATTTATTTTTTTGAGTCAGAGTCTCACTCTGTTGCCCAGGCTGGAGTGCAGTGGCACACTCAACGGCTACCGCAGCCTTGACCTGCTGGGCTCAGGCGTTCCTTCCACCTCAGCCTCCCGAATAGCTGGAACCACAGGTGTGTGTCACCATGTCTGGCTAATTTTTTGATTTATTGTAGAGACAAGGTTTTGCCAAGTTACCCAGGCTGGTCTTGAACCCCTGGGCTGAGGCAATCCTCTCTCCTCCACCTCCCAAAGTGCTGGGATTACAGGCGTGAGCCACTGTGCCCAGCCTCCATTATAATTCAGACATTTACACCCCCTTCCAAGGAAGTCCCAGCTGTTTATCACAGTCTTTTCAATACTGTGTAAGACATTTTGAATTTAAGAATTTTGTCAAAAAGTTTTGAAATTTTTCTTCTTGAGTTACTTTGACAATATGTAGGCCAACTCATAGGATCAGGGATATCAAACAGTGCCTTAGTCTTTTGAGATGGGCAGAGAAAGGCTTTAAGAAAATAGCAATTTTGTTGCAATTTAATTGGTAAAATAGGTTTAAAACAAGATCGAGAAGATACTCCAGAACTGTATGCCTCATTAAGAATCTTTCAAGCTGGGTTCGATGGCTCAGCCTGTAATCCCGTGCTTTGGGAGGCTGAGGTGAGTGGATTGCCTGAGGCTGCGGGTTCGAGATCCACCTGGGCAATTTGGTGAGACTTCATCTCTACAATAAATCAAAAAATCAGCTGGGTATGGTAGCACGTGCCTGTAGTTCCGGCTACTCGGAAGGCTGAGGTGGAAGGATTGCTGGAGCCCAGCAGGTCGAGGCTGCAGTGGCCACTCCCGGTCTGGATGACAGAGTGAGACTCCAACTCAAAAAAAAAAAAAAAGAATCTTTCAAGGTTTATTCCTGAGTGTTCAAGAGAGCACAGCATCTACTAGTTATAGCCATAGTAATCCCAAGAGTGTTGAAAATTGGACTTGTAGGAATAATTGTGTGTCAGATTATTTTGGTAATTTATTAAATGTTGGAATAATCTCATCTCTGAAGCTACCCAAGTAGCTTCCAGGGTTACTCATCAGAAACTTTTAATATTTTTGATATTGCTCAGATGAAACTTCTCAATGCTGTATTAGCTGAAATCATAGATGAAGGAGTACCATTATTTTATTGTCACTATTTATTTTCCTGGAGAGAAACTTCGGCTGTGAATAATGATTTACAGCTACCCTCATACCGCTGACAGAACTGAAAATGTTATCAGAGAAAATCACCCTCACTCAGCTTTCTTTTAGCCTGGTAATTAGCATTTGCCACTGAATTTAATTGATGAAATGTAAGTATTCTGAATTATAACTCGGCCTCAAGAAACACTATAGCATTTGTAAGCCTAATGACAAAAGTAATAGTCTAAAATGCAATATTAATTTCTTTACTGATGCCCTAACAGCATGTGTCTTTGAAAACAATCTGATGGTCTATGTATTGTCATTAATTATACAAATCTTTTCTTTTCATGTTCTTTTTGCATGTAGGCTCAAAATAAAATTAATGATAGAATTTTAAGACTCAATCTCAGGGACTCACTTAGCTAAAATTAAATGGAACAAGACTTAAAGTTACTAGTTTGCTTAGACAATATCAAATAGATTTACATGCTTTGGGGAAGAGAAAAAAAGGGAGAGATTACCCAAAGCACTTGTATTATAAGCTAATTATAATATCTTTGAAATCCTCTCCCTGACTCATTAAAGAGCAAAAAAAGGCTGGTAATAACATTTATTGGAATTCTAACTTCTAAACTGTTGCCCTTTCCTAAACAGTTACTCAGATTTCTGAGAGTTGTTTTTTGGAGTTTAAGAAGATGAGGGCTTATGCTCTTCTCACCTGGTGGATGCTACCTCACTAACCACCAGGTTCATGCAGGCTGATTTGGAGAAAGACGCAAGAGAGACTTGATAAGAATCAAATGATAGCTCCTCTCTCTAGTTGGTTCAGCCACTTATTCCTTTCTTGCAATTGTTTTTACAGTCTCAATGTTTAACCTCAGAGAGGAGTAAGAGCTTATTTTGTAACAAATGTTCATTGCCATCTTTGAGGCAAATAATTTGAAGAATAAAATATAAAGTATTCTGTCAGCAGCAGAGAATAATTATGTACAGAGAGAATTTCATTGTGCTTGTTTTTTTCACCATTATTTGTAAATATAACTCAGAATATTCCATAAATAATTCCGATCTTAAAAAAAATACATGCACATGGTTATACACTGAAGTTGTTTGTAATAGTAGAAGACTGAAAACAGTCTAAATGACTATAGCGTACTAGTTCACTAAAGAATGGGACATTGACTGGACTTGATGGCTCAGCCTGTAATCCCAGCACTTCGGGAGGCCAAGGCCAGTGGATTGCCTGAGCACTGCAAGACCAGCCCGGGCAACTTGGCGACACCTTGTCTCTGGCGGGGGCGGGGGGAAGAATGGGACATTTATACACTAAGGCCAAAAAATGAATTGAGAAAATGCTTTTTGTATTGATATGAATAATCTCTGAGATAAGTTGTACAGGAAATAAAGGTTTAGAACAGTGTGTATAGTATTTTACCGTCTGTATTAAATAGGGAAAAGAATATACTTATATATTTGCTTGTATGTTTGTAAAGTGTCTTGTAAAATATAAAGTAATTTGTTAGTATTAGATCATCTCTAAGTAGGGTCAGCTCACAGGCCCAGGTGGAGGAACAGTGAGGGCTAAGGGGCCAAGGCAGCAAGCACCCTGCTTACTCAGCCATTTTGCGAAGCTCTGCCAGTGTTTACATTGGGACATCGGAATGGCAAGGAAGGCAAAAACCTTAGTATGCTGACATATGCGCTGAGGTGCTTAGGCTTATCTTCACAGGTTTGCAGCTAGGTCAGAGAAAATAGGTCAGTTTCTTTGGAGACCCTTCTTTTCCTTGGCTCCCCCATTATTGACTCCACCACTATCTTTATAATGAATAAGCCAAAGCCAAGCATGGTTTCTCACACCTGTAATCCCAGCACTTTGGGTTGAGTTGGAGGATTGCATGAGGCCAGAAGTTCAAGACCAGCCTGGGTGACAGAGTGAGACCCTGTATCTACAGAACTTCAAAAATGAGCTGGACATCGTGGTGTGCTCCTGTAGTCCCAGCTACTCAGAAAGCTGAGGTGGGAGGATCACTTGAACCCACGAGTTCGAGGTATAGTGAGCTATGATTATGCCATTGTATTCCAGCCTGGATGACAGAGCAAGACCCTGTCTGTCCCCTTTGTACCCCCCCAAAAAAAAGACCAGGGACACCTTTGTTTCAAATGAGACAATGTAAGTAAAGCATTTAGAGCAGAGCCCAGCACGTACCAGGTACCCAGTAAGTAGTACCTGTGATTATATATGGAGCTGCCTGAAAGAAATGCGTGCAAAGACAAAACACTGAAAACCTGTGCCCTAAGAATGTCAGTATTTTCATTTATTATAAAAGCATGTTGGCACCATTCTGAATGGATATGTAATAAGAAATATATCAACCCATTGTACTCTGGGAATTTATCCTCATAACCTAAGGATCTATACTGAGATACAGCTTCCATAATGTTCAACAAAACACTACTTGTAACAGTAGAACTTTAGAAACTACCTAACATACAGTTGAGGCTGGGGGAGCGGTCTGTGAGTAAACTGTGGAGTACTCTATCATGATTAAAAATAAGAAATTAGAAGTTAGAAAATGTATGGCGATTAAGAGAGAAATTGCTGAATTTTTTTTTGTTTTTAAGAACTCTAATAATAATATATAAAATGTTTGGGAATTGTTACCTATAAAACAGAATATGTCTGTTGTGCTGTTCAGAAGTGTGAATGGTAATCTGTCTCCCTACTTCAAATGAAGGATGTTTTGTCCAAAAAGAAAATGAGCATCTCCAAGGTAGTTGTTACTTGCCTAAATCATGGGTTGGAAAAATTGGTTTGAGAGCTCTTGTTCTGGATCAATAACTAACTTCCTCCAGCGAACCCAGATAGATAGGCTACTTTTTGTTGATGTTTTTCTCCACTGAATAATGACATGCATGAAATACTATCTCTGTCTTGTCTTTAATTGACTTTTTATTAGTTGATTGGATGAGGTGGAACATGAATGAGTGAGAATTGTAGCAGATTTGAAGCTTTGTATTAACCTTTAGCTTCTGCCACTTTGAAGATCTTCAGTACATTGATAGTAGAAAATAGAGTTGGTGAGAAAATACCTTCATTTTCCTATCTCTTTACCTTCCTACTCTTGAGAAGTGTTTGTTTTAAAAAGAGAAATGAGATAGAAATATGGAACCAAAAATCCCGTTCACGCCTCAGCTATGGTGTGTTGTTTTTCCCACTGTAGCATTAATAAGATCTCCCTGATGTGTTGAGGTAGGTTAGAGTCTGGTCTAGTTTTTCTTGCAATTAGTTTTTAGAGTTCTCCCTGACAGGTTCATCATCCTAAGTTGCCACAGTTTCCTGCTGACACAGGACAAGAGTGTGTCCATGAAGTAAAGAACGCATAGTGATTGTGTTGCTGTGTTGCCAGTCTGTTTAGTAACTGCAGAGGTCCGTGCCAGGAGAGTGTCTGGGTCCCCTTTCTGCTTTGGGGAGGTGAGAAGCAGCTTTCGTAGCTCTGAGCCAAGCTGAGATACAGCAGTCCCTTGCAGGTCTGAAAACAGTGTCTCCCTGCTTCTTCGGAGTCGAGTGTGCGCAAGCAAAGGATAACTGAGAATTCTGCACTCTAGTGAACGCAGTTTTGTACATTTAAGTAAGTGTGGTTTTATTGGAATGAATCACTGCTCTTCTTAATGTCTCCCTGTATTCTCTTTTCTTACAGGGGCCAGATCATCAAACAATTTTATTTAACCATGGTGCAGTTCAGAATATTGCTCACCTGCTAACCTCACTGTCCTACAAAGTAAGGTGTTAAAAAATTATGGCCAAATTTTTATACCTTGTTTTTGGTTTTAGCAAGAAGTTCACGTATTTTACTGCTGCTTCGATAGGTGTCATCAAAAATAGTAATTTATTAGTATCATGTTCCAGGGCGTTATTTTACCTATAGATTGCTCTTCGAATAGCTGCCCTTGCATCTCCAGTGTTCTAGGATATGGTTGTGCCTTGAGTTGCTATTGAGTTGCAAACAGTATTTTAAGTATTTCCTGGCTAGGTACCAGTCCCATGATGCCTTGAAATATATAGAAGCAGTGGCTTGCTATAGCAGGAAAGACTTTGGATTTCATATTTGAGACCTATATTTAGCCACAGCGTCTCACATGTTATATGTCATATATATGTAATATATGTTATATAGCATATAACCAATTTTACATCAACAGAAAGTGTTCTCTTTTATGTTTTGAGTTAAAAAGTCAAGAGTTTTCAGGCTTATTAATTAAATTTTCTTTGCTGTCTTTTGTGTATAGTTAAGCAGTATCATAATACATGATCAGGCATTGAATTAAAGCCTTGACCATTATTTCCCATATAACAAGTTCTAGCAATTATGGGAACATTGTCCCTGTGGTGTCACATTAGAGCTGAGTATGGCATGAGTTCCTTGCAGAGCAAAGTAGTAGTCATTTTTGTTTTCTGTCTACTTGCATTTGACCCCATTCTGCTCTTTTGGTTCTTAGATTTATTTCAGTTAGGGCCTTCTAAAATGTATGTTTTCCCTGGCTCAGCCATCCAAGTGTGGTCTTGGTGAAGAACTCACAAGGATAGGGATGGAGGGGTGGAGCCAGCTTCTGCTAGCAGAGAGAGGCAGGGGACAGACGTTCACACTGAGGTACTTCTCCGCCCTGTGTGTGCAGAGGCTGGACCCAGCCAGCACTCACACACCAAGAGCAGCTGCTGGGGCTGCTAGTTATTATCCCTTTACTTCGGCTCCTCTGTCTTCATGAATTCTCCCTTCTCTTCTTCCATGTCTTTCTTTTCTACACTAGACTTTGTCATGATATAGAAAACCACAGGTTGTAGAGGGGGAAAGTATCTTGTAACTGCTCTTTTGCCAAAGTTTGTTCCTTGTTCAGAGTGTCTTCAGTTCTAGGTTCCTCCTGTGGGCATAGCCAGTGCTGCAGAACATTGCCCGGGTGAGGGATAGGGCTTCATCACACCACAACTCCCTGTCTTAGGAGGACTTACCAACCTCGTGTTCCACAAAAAACCGTCATGTGTAGACTCAGGCTTAGAAGGAAGGATTAGGTTGTCTGGTAAAAACTGAACAGAAAGAATGAGAAATAACAGCTCTTGCAGGAGCTTCTGCAAATTGCACAACGTATTGTAAGTGGTCAAGAGATTGGGCACTTGGTATCATCCTAGACCGGTGGCCTAGTTTTAAAGATGAGAAGCACAGTTCGTACGTCTTTTAAAAGCTAAGTCAGTTTGGTCCTCCTCGTGTTTTTATCGTGACCTTGCATCCTCTCTATTGTCTTTGCCCCCATCTCCATCCCACACATAGCTATAAGAGCAGTCTTCTTTGTTTGCCTTTCCTGCAGTTCTCTGATTTGTATGTAGTTAGGGAGGAAGAAATGCCCCATTTGAAAGGCACTTGGTGAGTTGCCTTTGTCTTACCAATATTGTATTTTGTACAGTGCTTTTTAAAATTTGATCAGGGATTTATCTAGTTCAATTTTAATTGCTACTGTTTTTCCTCTACTCAAAATGCATTTTGACTCTCATAATTAATATGCAGGTGTTATTGCTATTCCCTTGAGGCCTTCTTTTAGTATTTGAAGCAGATTTACTTCATTGTTTTTTCGGAAGAGGAGTTTAGATTCTGTGACATTAAAATTTGCATTTGTAAAGTTAAGATAAATGCATTTATTGTTTGTTCATTTATTTTTACAGGTTCGAATGCAAGCACTGAAATGCTTCTCAGTTTTAGCTTTTGAAAACCCCCAAGTATCGATGACCCTGGTAAATGGTAGGCTGGAACTTTCAGTGGTACCTACATGATTTAATTTGTGAATTTTGTAGATTTAAAGAATTTTCTTAATTGTTGCTGTTTGTTTTGTTTCTAGTTTTGGTTGATGGTGAATTGTTACCCCAGATTTTTGTGAAGATGTTACAGAGGGATAAGCCCATTGAGATGCAGCTCACATCAGCAAAATGGTAAAAGTTAAGACAATGTGCAAAGAAAGATGGTGCTTTATCAGTATCTTAGAGTATTTTTGGATAGTCCACTTTACTCCAATTTCCATCTTGTTTGGGGATTTTGAAGTTTAAAAGTCAACCGGACTCGGTGGCTTATGCCTGTAATCTCAGCACTTTGAGAGGCGGAGACGAGAGGATTGCCTGAGACCAGCGGTTTGAGACCAGCCTGGGCAACATGGCAAGACCTAGTCTCTACAATAAATCAAGAAATTAAGCCGGGTGTGGTGGCTCATGCCTGAAATCCCAGCACTTTGGGAGGTGGAAGCAAGAGGATTGCCTGAGCCCAGGGGTTCGAGAACAGCCTGGGCAACATGGTGAGACCTCCTCTCTACAATAAGTCAAAATAATTAGCTAGGCATGGTGGTGTGCAGCTGTGGTTCCAGCTACTTGGAATGTTGAGGCGGAAGGATCTCCACCCAGCAGATCGAGGCCGCAGTGGCCATGCACTTCAGCCTGGGAGACAGAGTGAGACTCCGAATCAAAAGAAAAAAAGAAAGAAAGAAATTGAAAAATCATAGGGAGCCAGGTGTGATAGCTTACTCCTGTAATCCCAGTACTTTGAGAGGTTGAGATGAGAGAGTTGCTTGAGCCCAGGAGTTCGAGACCAGCCTAGGCAACATAGCAAAACCTCATCTCTACAAAAAGTCAAAAAATTAACCTGTACTCGGAGGCTGAGGCTGAACGACCACCTGAGACTATGAGATCAAGGCTGCAGTGAGCCGTGAACATGCCGCTTACACTTCAGCTGAGGCAACAGAGTAAGACCCCAGCTCAAAAAAAAATTGAAGGGACTATCTCACATTTTCTTAAATGGATGTGTTTTTGTACTCAGTTATTACTGGTAGTATGCAGAACAGGAACTCTCATATAATATTTAAGACCATCGGTGGAGAATTACTTTATTATATCTTCATCTTACTCTCCTTGTATTTCAGTTGAAATAATACAGAATTAGATCAGATTTTACCAACACATGTTATGCTAAGTACTAAGCCAGGAGAACATAAACACAAAAATATGGAGTGAGAATTAGTTGAAGCTTATAATCAAGGGATGATTTCAGAGAATGTGGCTTCCTTATTCCTCATCTTTTAAGAAAAAAAAATGTGAAACACGAAAAGTCATCATAGAGATGTGATAGATTATAAGAAATTCACGTGATGTGTTCATTTGTGCAGTTTCTGGCTCATAAACTTTCGGTGCATGTTGATGTTTTAATTACCAGTGCATTCATAGTTGAGCACCTGTTGTGTAGGGGGGTCTATGCCAAGGGGATTGTTTAGTTTCAGTATTTAAGCAGCTGTGACCCTAATATTTTGGGGAGAATTAGGAATTTTTAGTGACTTACTCATTGTTTTGGTTTCTATTTATTTGTGTTGTTTTTTGTTTGCTTGCTTTTTGCCTTCAAAACTAAGCATTTGCCTCTTTGTCAGTAAATTAATGTTCTCATGTAAATGGTTTCAGAAAAATAGTGTAACAAGCCTCAAGATAATGATAACATACCATTGAAGAACATACCACTCTAAGAAAAAAAAATAATGATAACAGCTACAAAGACTTCAACCCTCTACAATATAAGTAAAATCATTTTACTAATTTGTATATAGCTTTCTGTAGAAGCTAAACATGGGATGTTTTAATTTTTGCCCCCCATCTTAGTAAAGGAATCTAATTCAAAGAGGAAATTGGTCAATTTAAATTTCTGAAGTGCTTAAATTAATTTTATTCTTATTCAAAGCCAGTTATAGCTATGAAGTATCCTGTTTTTCAGTAGAATCAAATTATTCACTAATTCTCAAAACCACCAGTGTTAACCTCTGGATAGTTATTTCTTATGGATAGCGGTGTTAAAAGCTGTTTTGTGATAGATATTTCTTCTACTGCTTTTGGAGTTGAACTATCCCAGTTTGACTTCATTAAACTGATATACTTTGCCAACCTTTTAATTTTATTTTTAGCATTTTTGCCTTTTTATTATCAAAATTTTCAAACTTTAAAAAAATATAAAAAACTCACATATACCCAGCATCTAGCTTCAAAATGTATCCACTCATTAGATCATTTATTTTTAAAGCTGTCTGATAGGTTTTTGTTGTTGTTGTTTAATTTTTATTTATTTATTTTTTTCTTCCTTCCTCTTTCCTTTTTTTTTTCTTCTCTTTTAACATCTGGCTTCCTGTCTATATGTATCTGTTAGTTTTCTTTGACTGAATCTCCACTAAGGAAATGTCAGCATCTTCTCCCTTAAGATAAATGATATGATAGTATTACTGATTTTTGCTTTTTTGTTTTTTCGTGAAGCCTTAAAGGCAAGTAATTTTTCTTTTAAAGCTTTAAGCCCTAAGAAAAAGCTTACTTTCTGCCATCTTATTACAGTTTAACTTACATGTGTAGAGCTGGAGCAATTCGAACAGATGACAACTGTATTGTATTAAAGGTAAGCCAGTTCTCCTTTAAACGGAAGATTCTCATATATAAATGTTGAATGCAAAAATTGGTATATTCCTATTTCATTTTAGACATGTATCATTGTGATATGCGTACATGGCATAGAATAATAAACACTGTGTTTTCTTTTTAGTGGATGCCATCTAGTTTTTAAAAGTTGATGTTAGATGTGTCTTGAAAGTCAAAGTGACATAATTTTTTCCTTGTCACAGCTTTTTCATTTTATGATAATTAGGAAGATGTGGAAATGGCAAAAGTGGGTAAAATCCAGGTGAAATAGAAAATACATTTTAAGTCTTGATTTTCATTAAATTTGCAGTACCGTTTTATTGACTGGCAACTTCCCCTTTTGCTGATGAAGTCTCTGTCAGCCTTATCACTGATACTCAGAAGGCATAATGAGAGGGACTAAGTAGATGACGCGGCCAATGTCCTTGTGGTGTGTAAGATGCAAGCTGAACCCAGAAGAACTTGGAGGAGGGATAGCCCTGGCAGTCCCGAGGCCTCAGTTCTGACTGTGGTCCTCCTGCACACTGGCTGGCCGTCCTTTATGCTTTTGGTGTCTTGGACTCCTCTTATGAAAAGCAGGCACTAGTTCCTGCTCATCGATTCCACAGGGTTATTGCAAAGATGACTTCATCGAATATACTAAAGTGTCTTATTAACTGTCAAGAACAAAACAAGTACAAATAAATTGATCACGTGTCGTTTTGCGAATATGAGTTTTCTCATTGTCACTGTTCAAAAGGTGAACCCAAGATAAAAGAGCATTAAGGAGATGCACGTTTGCTTTAGTCCTTGGTGAAGACAATCGATTGTTCAGTAAGACTTGAAGACCCCTTCGGTCACAACTCTGTGTAGAGTACTGAGGCCTTCTGTGCAAGGCTTCTTGGTTTATTAAATTCTCTAACCTTTCTTTTTCCTCACTGGTAAAATAGGTTAGTAGTATCTTCTTCATATAACAATTGTAAGCCCTGAATTCAGTAATCCATGAATTTATGGTGTCTATAAGTATTAGTAACTAGTAACATCAGGAACCCAAAAAAAAAAAAAAAAAAAAAAAAAGGACCTTCTCCCCAGAAACCTGGGGTTAAGTTGAAAAGCCTGAACTAGCCTAATAGGAGATCAGCAGTGAACAATAAAGTGCTAAATTCTGTGGTAAAAACATAATAGGAACTTAGAAAAGAGCAAAAAGCACAGTTGACTGTGATATTTGAGAAAAACTTCCTATAATTGCTGCATTTCAGTTTCTACTTCCATGTTGTTCATTAAAGTGAAATCATCACCCTTAGAAATAGAAAATGTGGCCGGATGTGGTGGCTCACACCTATAATCCCAGCACTTTGGGAGGCTGAGATGGGAGGATTGCTTGGGTGCAGGAGTTTGAGAGCAGTCTAGGCAACAGATCAAGATCTCATCTCTACAAAAAATAGAAGAATTAGCTGGGCGTAGTGGTGTGCACCCTGTAGTGCCAGCTCCTTGGGAGGCTGATACAGGAGGATCGCTTGAGCCTAGGCGTTGGAGACCACAGTGAACTATGATTATACCACTGTACTCCAGCCTGAGTGACAGTGAAACCTGGTCCCAAAAAAATAGAAAGATGTAGTAAGTACATGGGGTGGCATTTTATTAAGAACCTAATGTAGGTAAGTGACCGAGACTGGGATAAGATTTTTGAAGGGCCTCAGAAGTAAAGCAGTGGATATTGCGCTCATTCCAGCAATTCTTGGAAAAACCTAGCTACTGTGATGGATGTGTTCCATTTGCACTGTAGGAGAGCTGGGAGGATCCAGGTAATGGTAAGACTGCTGCACTTATAAAGCTGTAGTTTTGTTTTGGCAGTTGTAGATTTTAATTCTCAAACCAGAAAATAAGTGTCATCCCAATCATATTACTCACTAAGGAAACGATAGCATGCTTTTTCTAAGGCAAAGTCATTCCTGGTTAATCTACTCCATCTTTTTTGTTGTTGTTTTTTTGGGTTTTTTTTTTTGAGTTGGAGTCTCACTCTGTCACCCAGACTGGAGTGCAGTGGCCACTCCCGGCCACCGCAACCTCGCCTGCTGGGTTCCGGCGATCCTTCCACCTCAGCCTTCCAAGTAGCTGGAACTACAGGCGTGCGCTACCACGCCCGGCTCATTTTTGATTTATTGTAGAGATGGCGTCTCACCAAGTTGCCCAGGTGGTTCTTGAACCCGCGGGCTCAGGCAGTTCACCCACCTCAGCCTCCCAAAGGTGCGGGATTACAGGCTGAGCCACTGAGCCCGGCTTTACTCCATCTCTTTTGGGTAAATAAATACATAGATGGGGCAGAACCATCAGACATGATTTGTTAGGGATTCTTAAATATATTTTACAAGGTTGTGCAATGAAACTTCAGTCTTATCAATCACAGAAGCCTAATTGGAGTTTGTATTAGTAGATTTTGACGTATGATTGGAGTTTAGTGTGCCAGCACAAATGACTAGTTTGCACTGAATTTAGCTTGTTTTTGCATAAAAAAATATTTTATTCTCTGAACTATTTGATCACAAGCATGACTCCCAATCCCATTGAGTTAATTCTATCACTATTTGCTCTTCATCAAGCTTTTGCCATTACCAGAAAGCAAATAATTAATCTTGCTGCCTTTCAGACCTTGCCTTGTTTGGTTCGAATGTGCAGTAAGGAGAGATTGCTGGAGGAGCGAGTTGAAGGAGCTGAGACACTTGCCTACCTGATCGAGCCGGATGTTGAGCTGCAGAGAATTGCGAGCATAACCGATCACCTCATCGCCATGCTTGCCGACTACTTCAAGTATCCCAGCTCAGTGAGTGCCATCACTGATATTAAAAGGGTATGCTCTTTTTTCTTTGGTAGCATAGATGATATTGCTTTGTGAGTTTTTGAATCCAATTTGTTTAATGTTAGAAGTTTTTGCTAAGCAGAGTGCGCAGTTAAAAAGAAAAGTGCAAGCCGGGCTCGGTGGCTCAGCCTGTAATCCCATGCCTTTGGGAGGCTGAGGTGAGTGGATTGCCTGAGCCCGCGGGTTCGAGACCCACCTGGGCAGTGAGACCTCATCTCCACAATAAATTGAAAAATCAGCCGGGCGTGGTAGCGCATGCCTATAATTCCAGCTACTCGGAAGGCTGAGGCGGAAGGATTGCTGGAGCCCAGCAGGTCGAGGCTGCGGTGGCCAGGAGCGGCCACTGCACTCCAGTCTGGGCGACAGAGTGAGACTCCAACTCAAAAAAAAAAAAAAAGAAAAGTGCATCCTTAACTGGGCGTGGTAGCGCACGCCTGTAGTTCCAACTACTTGGAAGGCTGAGGCGGAAGGGTCGCTGGAGCCCAGCAGGTCGAGGCTGCAGTGGCCGAGAGTGGCCACTGCACTCCAGTCTGGGCGACAGAGTGGGACTCCAACTCGAAAAAAGAAAAAAGAAAAGTGCATCCTAAACTCCAAAAATAATAAGATGTCCAAACAGGGTATTGACATATCTACATAATTTAATCTTATTCATGGTCACAGAATCACTCTGTTGCTATATTCTTATTCCTTATATCAAGGGTAATCTTTTGTTACAGATGACTAAGTTGCCTCATGGTCTTATTTTTTTGGTTGCCTTTCCCCATCTTTTCTCTGCCTCTCTGTCTCTCTCTCTTCAATTTCATAGAGTGCTTTGGGCCTACTAGTGATAGCTAAAGTACCATTTAACTTCTAGTTTGGGACCATCAAGGACCAAATTGTGTTTTTTTCTGAAAATATAAGGTCCTTAGAATAGGTAAATATTTCTTTGACTTGTTGCTTCTCAGCCTATTTGCCATATGAGCTCTCTAAGCATAGGAGATCAGCATTCTAGAAGAGAAAGTTTATTTAAGGAAGTCATGATAGAACTTTGCCTCTTAATTAATAGCTAGTACTGTTTCATGAATATGACTGCACTTTTCATAGAAGTGATCCTAGCAGTAATTGTTCTCTTGACCGCTTCCCCGTGCTTCTGAGTTCCCAAAAAACCTCACAATACAGACAGCTTTTCATTGGCATTTAAAGTTGAAAATAAAACAAACTCTTAAGGGTATGTCTTTTCTTTCTCTTAGAAAGGGTTTTCATTGATATTTGCATTATATTCATAACCTTCATTGATTTTTGCATTAGTAATATACACTGCCCTCTGTGTATTAAAGTTATGTATTTGGTATGTGAGTTATTCCTTATATTCTTCCATTTTATTGTCATCACAGGAAAACTGTAACAATAATAATTTTTTATGACTTCCTAAGGCCAAACTTGAGTAATAGTTTGTTTTATTGTCTTTAATGTTGGTGATTATCCAAAGGTTTCTGACAAAAATGTATACACTAGACCCATAGAAAGAAATTTTCATATTAATAAATGTTTTATTTTCATGGTATATTAGTTCAAGTCACTATTGTAATTTCTTAAGTTATGACTAGAACATAGTTAAGGCTTTAAAGGTGGATACTTTAGAACGTATCAAAATGGGTATCGTTTATTGGGAAGTTCCTCCCATAATGCATCATTGTCTGCTTTGATAAAAACATTTTTGGAACTATTCTTAAGAATTGCCTTCAGATCCATCTCAAATGAATTTTTAGTTTTTACTTTTTTTTTTGCTTTTGGTAGAATTTTTTGTTGTCCTAAATAATATTACACTGCTGGATTTTTCCATCTTCACACACCACAATCAGTGACAATTAACTTAAAATTCTCATAGTTGATGAAGCCACGCCACTGTCTTGGGTTTTCTAGCTAATAATACCAGTTAGCTATTTAGGGTATTTTAAAAGAGGATCTTGAAATGTTATGAACAACATCTGTGTCACTGGATAAGAGTGAACCTTTCCCATGTAACTTCTTTGGAGAAAGTGGTACTCATTTGGAGGGGTGATTATATCTCTAGTTATAAAAGTATTTGAGTTACTGATATGCCTTGGTTACTGGTTCATAGTCATTTATTGCTGAGAATATACTGCTATTTTATATTTGTGGTAGTTTGGTGATAGATCAGGTTTATGGAAGAATTGATAACTTTCTAGTTTGTGCATGTTTAAAGATAGCATTAATTGCTTCATGCCAATAAATAATTTTAATAAAATTTTCTTTGAAAAAACTTAATCCTCAGATGTTTCAGATAATGTAATAGATAGTATTGGTTACCATACTATATTGTTTGTTAAGGGCTTTCACAAAGTATTCCGTTTCTAGATGCTTTTTAGATGCTGAAATTAGCCCAGTATTATTCTTTTTTTTTTTTTTTTTGAGTTGGAGTCTCACTCTGTCGCCCAGACTGGAGTGCAGTGGCCGCTCCCGGCCACCGCAGCCTCGACCTGCTGGGCTCCGGCGATCCTTCCGCCTCAGCCTTCCAAGTAGTTGGAACTACAGGCGCGGGCTACCACACCTGGCTAATTTTTTGATTTATTGTAGAGATGAGGTCTTGCCAAGTTGCCCAGGTGGGTCTCGGACCCGCGGGCTCAGGCAGTCCACTCACCTCGGCCTCCCAAAGTGCTGGGATTACAGGCTGAGCCACCGAGCCCGGCCTGTAGTGTTACTTTTTGATGGATATAGACTGTGTGCATTTTAGGTCATAGTTGCATAGACACAGCCAGATCTCCGCCATTTGTGAACAAAGCCTAAAAACAACTAAGAAATTCAGTTAGTGACTGGGAAACTCACTAAGATGTTAATAGTTATTAATGATTTTTTTCTTCAACTCTACTCAGTTTTATTGAACGTTTAATTTATGAACTGAGTTGGAATATGTCATTTTTCCCCTCCCATAGCTTGATCATGATTTAAAACACGCTCACGAACTCCGCCAGGCTGCATTCAAGCTCTATGCCTCTCTTGGAGCAAACGATGAAGACATCCGGAAGAAGGTGAGTCTGGGAGAGGGGCGTCCCCCAGTCCTGACAGCCAGCAGGCAGGGAGTGACGTCAACCTGAAAGTCGTGGTGAAGAGCACTGACAGTGACTGCTTGAATATAATAAAACAGAGTGACTAAAGGCATAATTGAAGAATGAATGGGACCCGGATTTGGGGGGTTGTTTGTTTGTTTTTAGAACATAGAGTGGCATGGCCGTGCTGGAATGACAAGTAACTGGCGTGCTTTTTTTGTGTCATTAATATGAATTATTATGTTGCACATTTTTGCATGTGTTCTGATAAAAATCAATTCTAGCACTGTGAAGCTTCAGACACCTTGAAAATCCTAACATTAGAATTGTAAATGTTATTTATGGAAATACTTCCAATGCCATTGAGAAATTAAAATCTCTATTGTATATTGTTCTTTGATATGTGGCTTAGTTTTATGTTTTGATTTTTTTTTTTTTTTTTTGCTACTGTGCAAGTTTAATGTGAATAAAATCTTTGTGGAATGATGATTTTATGTTTAGTGAGTGGTCATCTGAATTTTCCAGTTCCCAAAAAGTATATCACTGGTGTAGCAACCTTATGTTACTGAAGCCTAGTCTAACACTGAACTTATGTTCTTTATGAGAACAATTATAGGTGAGGAATAAAGTGTAGTGGTAAGCTCTGACCAGATTCCCTCCACAAACCAAAAGACTGGAACTTACCGCTCGAAACATATCTAATCTAATAAAGTCTACACAAGGCTTTCCGCTCCCTCAGTGAGCAAAACCACCCATGTTCTGTTTTGAGGAGCCATAGCAGAAAGAGCAGATTGAGCATTGTTTACTAAATGTGACAACTTACTAAATCTCCCCATCTGTGTTGGTATTTTAAGGAACACCATGAGAGAAATCACAAAATACTGGAGTTTACCATGATTCAGAGAAGTACTTCTTGCTTGTAGAAAGAGAAGTATTAAACAACCTTCTATTTGTTAAAATAAACAAAAGGAATTATTCTAGAAGAATTGAAGTAGTAGCAATAAGATTAGATGTGTGAGGAGCTTTGATTTAAAATCAGTGCAAAAAGCACAACTAATACAATGAGTGTTTCCATGTACCTCAGTTCCGTTCGGTTAACAAGATGTTTTGGCTTGATGTGTTTTTAGTACATGCCTATGAGAATCATTTTTGACAGCCCAAGCTTTCATTTATAAATTGTGACTTCAGGGCAAACATACTAGTGATATGGTACCCCTGAGGTCTAAACATGATTTATGGATGTTGATGCAGATACGTTTCATTTAGTTTCAGTACATGGTGCGTTGCAAGGGGAGAGGCTTTTATGACATCTCATATAAATTTAAACGTTTTAAAAGAAATGACATGGACTGTGTAACTTAAACACATAATTATCTGTTTTTGAATGGTTATCGGGGTCCATTGGAAACAGGAGAATCATTTTACCCATTCTTATAGCTCCAAAAGTCCATGTCATGGACTAAAAGGGAGATAGCTAGATGGACCGTGATGGGGGGAATAGGATGTCCATTTGTATTTCTTTGTACTTTTTTGTTAATAAACTGTTGTTTTGGAATTATTGACTTAATTTGTAATATCATGTTCGAGAAATAATTGCAGCATAACAGTCTAATCAGTAGTCTATTTAAACGTGTGTTCATAATATGTGTAATTTCCTGGTAAGGTTAACTCCTGATCATTTCTGTAGTAAGATGACAAATAAAGAATGAGTTATAATTATTAATTATAGTTTTTTTGTGTGATAAAGCAAAGATACTCTGACATTCATATGTAATGGGAATTATATAGCATTTTTAGGGAGATATTTAATTTCTGAGAAATTAAATGTTGGAATAATTTGCAGTTCATAGTAACTACCAAAGAGAGAAATTGCAAAATGGAAAATATAAAGTAATTTTGTGATAAAATCTGCTTGAAGACCAATCTTAGGAGTGGAAAGTTTTTATTTTCAGTGTATAAAAAATGATAAAGGCTAACTTTTTTTCTTTTGAATGCATTTATCTCTATTCTACTTTTTTGTTAAAATAATTATTTGGATAGATTTTTACTTACTTCCTCCATGAACTATATTTCTCTTCTACACTTATGCCTTATTAACTTGATTGTATTCCTCTTTTATGTGTAGATTCTTAAAGTATAATGTTTATTATTGTTTAATTTTTTTAATGCAGAATTATCTATGCCTGCCAAGATGGAATTTCAGTTAATTGTGAGTTAACAAGTGGAGAATCTCTAAAAGAAACTTCAAGGAATGTAGACCTAATTTGCCCCAGCCCTATTTTCTCCCCACTAGAAAAACTGCAAAAAGGTTTTTTATTTGTTTCAGGAGAAAGATATGAAATATTCAGTTGGTCTGACATTTAAGTTGCAAATGGGAACATAATTCAGTAAATAATGTGTGTCCCAGTGCCCTATTGTGGCCAGTTAACGAAAGGAGACAGAATGAAGAAGAGAAAACAAGCAAAGAAGCAGAGACAATGAGAGGTGTACACGGGAGTGAGGAGGACGACACTGGCCTTCTCTCACCATAGAGTTGTGTCTCTCCCTTCTTGCTAAGGACTTCCAAAGACCTGCTGTGTTTTCGTGTCTTAAGACTTTCTCTTTGGTCCAGGCAGAGTTAAGCAGATGCCTGAATATGACCTGCAGGCCAGAGGTTGACTACCCCTGCTTTGGAGCATTGTCAGTGTATTCCCATTGAAAGATACCACTCATATAACAGTCCCTGGAACTTAATAAGCACTCAGTAAATCCTTGTTGAATAAATATAGAAGTGAACGTGCAGAAGTCATACACAGAGTGACATTTCCTTTGCTATGTCTGGATCTTTCTGCATCCTTCTGTGTGGAGGAAAGTGGGTGTTCTGATTCCTAGGTTTGCATCCTTTATTGCCCTGTGGCGTGCTTGAACATTTCCTAATTTCTTATGGTGTCTTGTCAGCTAGAGTGAAGGAGGGTGGTGCTGGCGGAAAGAGTTCTGCAGGCAAGAGTGAAAAATGCACTCCCATTGGCTGTGACTTGAAGAGGGGAAAGAAGCCCAAGAAAAGATGGAGGATCACTGAGCTTGGCAGCGGTTTTCGCCTGGCCAGGTTAAACTTAGAAGAATTTAGATGACCTGTAATTATGGAACCTGACTCTGGATGGATTTGGGCTAGCAAGAGTAAGGGCGTAGGCAGGAACCGCGAGCTTAGTGGAAGAGGGTCCAGGGCACGTGCGCAGTAACTGCACTCTCAGCGATGCCAAGTGAAGGTCAGCTCTCACCTTCGCCAGGAGACCGTCCAGTTGCTAACAGTAGCCTTTGCCGCAGCTTAACACTGTTCAGGAAGAAGTTCACTTACTGTGATTACACAAGGGGAAGAGCATAAGATACCAGGCAGATAGAGCAACCAACCGTTTCAAGTACTGGTACCCCCAGTCAGCGGCTAAGTCATGTGAGGCAGCAGTGACCGTCCTGTCGTTTTGAAGCTGATTTTTTTAATAACAGTTGTTTTCATGAAGATCATCACTTGATCAGTACCTATTGATTATGGGAAAAGGAAAACGGAAAAAGGATGACAATCTCTTTTACTCTCTTTAAGGAACTGGGGGAACTTGTCAGGAATATTAGAAAGTGTAAATTGAGGAAAATTAGAAATAGTAGTAAATTATAAATTGAAATTTAAGGAAATTAATACAGTAACTAGGATGTTGGTTTCACTTTGATAAAAACAAACACAAATGTTAAATGAGGTATTTACGTAGCTCCTGTAAGGCATCAGACTAATTAATGGAGCCTTTCAGAAAACTTTCCTCTTAAATTTGGATACTTATATTTTAGCTAGAAATCCCTTTTGAGGGACTAGAATGTAAGCTCCATGAGGGCAGGGATTTAAAAAAATGTTTTGTTCATTAATGTATTCCTAGCATCTACAACACTGTCTATGCATAGTTGACAATAAATATTTGAAGAATGAATGAATGAAAAATGATGGATGAGCCATATTCCAAAATTGCATTATTATGCACCCATTATCGAATTATATATGGTCCTCTCTGCATTTGGAAGTTTCCTAACCTCGCTAGCAATTTTATATGTATGTAAAGAGAGGAAATTTGAAATGAGAGAAATATATATGTGGTCATATAGTCAAGGGGTTTCACTGTAATACTCACTCAGCATAGCGAAAATACAGGAAATTCCCATTTTTTAATCAGCCAGCAATCCCGAGTTTGTCGTCTACTCAGTTGGATGTAGATCAAAGAAAATATGGTTTATGGTGTATTTGCTTCATATCAAAATAATTTTGACCATTATTTCTTAATTAGCAAATATGGGGGCTTTCTTTTTTCCTTCAGAATGTGTGATTTAAAAAAAACAATAGTACTCACTAGTGTGAATCTAGACCAAGTTTTCTAGGGATAAAAGTATGATTTGGTTTATAGAAACATTTTAATTATTTGTTATAGCTTGATTTGATTACTGATAGATCTTTGAGTAATAGTATAAATGTACCATGAATTTATATTTTACATATTTTGCAAAGTTTAATAATTCTAAATGGTCTTTTAAAGGCACATCAAAATTTGTATTTTTCTCTACCATGAAATCAGGCAAATGCAAGGAATTATTTCTAAGCCTTAGCCTGCATATTGAAACAAACACCTTGAACATGTTGAAGGTTTTTCGTGGTTCTACAGAAGTAGCACCCTTCAGGACTTGACTCTGCTACGCTGAATAACGGCAGATTCATTCAGAACTGACACTTTCTTGACTTAAACTGTGGTTAAGTTATTAGTTCTCCTCTTAAAGCCAGTCTACCAAGGAATTTTAAATGAACTTTACAACATTCATGCTCAGTGGTAAGTATTTTTTTTTAAAGAAATAACCATGACAGGACCAGGTTTGCCAGTTTCCCACAGTATTGAGACCCTTGACCTTCATCATATGACAAGAAGCAAACCTGGCAGTGCTAATGCTATATGCATAATAGAGGTATTTATGAAATC